TGAAAGAAATTGACATGCACTTTTACGAACCTAAAGTCAATTCAGATCACTTCTATTCTGTCTATTCAGAACAATGTCTATGAAACATGTCCAACGTCGAAAACTTGACAGGAAAATTAAACCCAAGAAAAAGACACCCGCTTGTATACAGATACCTCTTTATGTACAACAAAAGGTATCAAACATAATATACTAATATTGCCGAAAGGGGAAAGATCTGTCATGTAAAGAATCCTGAAAGGTTACAAAACTTGGCTGTTATTGAAAGGATTAAAAGGGATGGCAGTGTTTCTTGAGGCGAATTGTAGAGTCGATGGGGATGATGAATAGGCACTTCTTGACCTAGGCGGTTCTGAAGAGGTTGCAACTTTGTCAAAGATTAAATGGATCATAAAATTAGTTTCCTATGCTTTAATGCATTTGAATTACTATGCACCTTTTGTTTCATTTCCCCGGTGACTGAAGTAATATAGTATGGTGATACTATCAGGACAGGAGAAGAAGAAAAAAGTAGCTCCATATTTCATCGATTTGAGGAAATCATTCATTTTTATGGCCGCGATCTATTGCGATGATTCAGAACCACCATTCATTGTTTTTTCATAGGATCCCACTCCCGAAAGTCATAAATTTGGGTCATTTTTGGGGTCCATGTAATACGCATTTGTTTATGTGCGTGAGTGTGAAACTTCTAAAATAGTAGCATCATATTCAGGGCTATCTGTTAAAAGGTTCATTTCTGTGGAGTATGTAACCCTTTTTTCACAAAATGTGGCGATCCGCGCCGAGGCGGCGTTGCTTACGACCAGTCGCACGTCTCTATACGGCGATGTATATGATTTTGGTGGCTTCGGGCAAAATAGTGGTCGTAGGAAGACTTACGATTGGAAGTAGGATATATTTGTACATATTGTGAGTTGAGTGCACCAGGGTTGTGGGTGACGTGAAAGTTTGGAATGCGACTGGGTAACCAGATCCCTCTGAATGACTCTAACGAGAAAAGAGATATTCCTGGCACTGGAGAGGAATAGTTTTGGGATAATGGGACCCATTTTTGCGAAGGTATGCCGTTTGATATTCGAGCACTATTGAGAATGAAATATACACTTTTAGGTTAATAATCTCGAGAATAAATCACATGAGAAATATGATAGTCGCTGCGAGACACCAAACGCGGTCCCTGGCCGATTTGGTATCGTAACGCGATCTTGGGGTGAGAGCGCGTGGTTTAGCTCACGAGTGTTCTCTCTAGTCCCACGTGTGCATTCTTTCGCATGGTTCTTTGGCCTCTTGCTGTAAAAACTAGAAGAGAATCATACTAGATATTCGACCGTCCAGGTCCAGAGCTATATTGACTCTTTTTTTCCCTCTCTAGTTTTCCCACCAAATGCGCAAGTTTGGTCATAATGGAACGGTTTCCACAAGTGCATGTGGACTAGAGCATGAAGCGCTAAAACGGTTCACGACTTTGGTCGCAATATTGCGTGTTTTTATTTTCACGTTCATATTAATTTATAAATTTCCGTATTATTTTTACTTGAGACATTACTGACATATGTAACTGATATAAAAGAGGTGACGAAACAAACCCATCTGTTACCTGCAATTTGATTTAAATATGTAATTTAAGTGATGGTTATATTACCAGGCCTGTGGTTTAACCATGCGTTGTAATTGGACAATACGAACCCTTTGGACTTGACGCATGGCGTCGAATTGAAGTTCACTGTAACCATTATCACTTTCTCAAGAGGATTCGGTGAAGAGGTGTGCGTGTGTGTGTGTGTGTGTGTTGGGAGGGGGTCGTTACAAAAGGTTAAAGATGATGGTGACATCACAATGCCTCTTCTGCATGTTCACGTGGGTGGCGAGATCAAAAGGGAGAAATTGAAAGGGTTTGTTTGACTGCCTCTTCACCCACTCCCTTGTATTTTCAAGAGAGCATTATGCTGATTACATGGAAAGTGATTAGTAATAGTCTCTCTGGCGGTTTGTTCCTTTGATGATCATCAGCAATGAGATGTAGCCTAAAGACTAAACGTCTTCACGCCATGAAAGAAAGCAAAGAGAGAAAGGGGCAAACCCTTTATAAACCCTTTAGAATACGATAAAGATGAAAGTATAGAGATTTCCCCGATCGAGAGCGCGGTCTCGTTTGGGTATTCGAAGGAGTTTGTTTACATCGGCACTTGATAGTTCGCGTCCCTATCTCACGATTGTGTCGACTTGACGCAGCAACTTTGAAAATGTTGTAGAAAGTGAGCACCAAGCTTGATGCACACACTGAACCCCAAGTCTTGACTTCTCAGAATCCAGTTTAACTCCTATAATACCATTAAAATCGTGGCCACTTGTACAGTTTCTTTTTAAGAGGCAAATATAAGGCATTGCCCATGTTTCCGATTCAACTCCTGCCCTGTGCTACAAATTAAAGGCTGATTTCATGTAATGAAATTATATAGTGTTTTGGTTACGAATGCATTTTGTCTTTCAATATTCATATTTGGTTTTAAAATTAAACACCAACAACAAACGAATCATGCGTACCCCGTTAAAATTTGGTTACGATGTACACTGGAACTATTATGGCATGGGGCATTTATACACCTAATAGATTATTGTTATTATTTGATTTCGTCATCTTTTGATTCAAAGTAATTGACCCGAACGAAGGAAAAAAGCATTTTATGGTAAGACCGAATCTAAAGGGAAAAACTTGAGTATAGAAAATTAGAAACTGGTAATCCTTCCGGTCCAATTTGCCACGACCCGAACAAAGGCGTGAAACAAAAAACCTTGTGAATTCAAAATGTGACTTTTTGTTAAAAGTAAGTTATGCCCATAATGCATATTTCCTACATTTTGTCACGTAATTTGCGTACAAAGGAGGCTTTTGAGTGGTAATTTATTTGCGGTTTTCCTCGCGCGACCCTCGATTAATAATTCGTCAACAAACTACAGTACACAACATGGTGTAAACATGGAGTTAAAATGTGTCTCTCCATACAGCTGTAATGACTTGCCTAATCGCTGATTTGCGCTACTGGTCATTCGGACAGTCCTCCTTGTTTTGCGCCAGAGAACCTTTTGTCCAGTCTTCAAAGAGGGCACCGACGATGGCGGCTGACTTTTAACAGTTTTTCAACCCTAATCCAAGGCTTCAACAATCATGATAATCTTCTTGTCTTTCACGGGCAAGGCGCCAGTTAACGCCTTGTTGAAGATTCCTTTCGGAGCAATTAGTGCAGCGTTTGTTACAAAGCTTATATGATTTCTTCCAGAGGCACAATGCGACATCCCTGCGGAATCCCTTCGGTCATTGATCAATGCGTAACAAGGTTCATTACTAACGTCTATTCTCGCCCTAAACGGCTTAGCATATAGATAATAGCACCCGGGCAATGGATGAGGTTCGTTTTATATGATATCTGAACAATCTTTTTAATAGTTCTAATAGGACTAGGTCTTGACGGATTATCGGTCAATGCAGGGTGTTTATCCCACCATAAAAGAGGTCCATTTCAAGTGTTGAATCAAACGACACAACAAAAGCCAAAGCCAATATCGACCAAAAGAACCGATTATTGGGGATTTTACAGTAGGGGTCCGCTCCTTAGGTCATGGGAAACGAAAGGGGATTGGTTTCTCGGGTCCGGGTTCTCAACGATTGTCTATCTACAAGGATCCCCAAAATTTCCTTGTGATGTCATTATCATGTCTCTGTTTAATGACGTCATGTTAATCACGTGAACAAATCTTGATAATCTTGTAGGCACAACTTTTCATTAATGTCCAAAGAATTCATGAAATCTTACTGACTACTTTATGACGACGGATCTCTTTGTTCTATACTTTTAATTAAAACAAAATCGTAGAATATTTTGTAAACATTGCCTTGCTTATTCTAAGTTCGGGTCTTGCGACCACTCTCGAAACTCGCTACAATCCGAAAAAGAATTGTATCCTGCATCTCCTGCACACCATGCATGCATGTTACCCCTTTCTGCTGCCGATTAGTCTTGATCTGTTGGCATATGCGAGGTAAAGCTCCGTCAGAAATCCCGGAATAAGTCGGGATTTGGGATATGAGCACTTGTAAAAACTCAAAGCGCACCGACGTCGGCCCGAACAGCGATACGTCGAAGACCTGTATGTGCCCCTGTTTAGGGTTTACTGTGGGATCTAGACGAAATGCTCCAGAAAACATGGTGAAGAGCAAACATGTTTCCTTGTGTAATGCTTGCCCATGAACCTTAATCATTCAGATCGTTTTCAATTTAAATCAACCTTTTAATGATTGTCACGTGCCGTTTCCACTCCCGTGTTTAAATTTTTATTTCGGTAGTATAAATTATAGTCCTACAATAAAAAAAGCCTATGTTTTTTTCTCTTCTAAGTCACAACACCGGCACACCTTTGTTTATGTTATCATTGTGACATATTTATTCATTTGGTAGATTGCATGAATGCTGCTTTGAAAATTTTCATCGTGTAAAAACATGTACTATAATATATATACGTACATGTGAGGAACCGGCGAACAAATCCGAATGCATTACTGTAGGTGACGGTACCGTCCCCAGGGCGTGTTCAAGACAGATGCGCTCAATCCTTCAAAAAACCTGGATCCTCTTCTGTTCTAACCGACTTTCATCATCTGTTCCGCGGCCCGCCGAGGAGCTTTAGTGGGGGCCAAACACATGCCCTTGGAATTGAACTATTTTGACATCCTCTTTTAGCATCCAATTGCTCCCTCTCTCTCTCTCTCTCTCTCTGTCAGTCTGTCTGTATGTCTCTTTTCCTCTGTCTTTTTCCTCAATCTCTCCCTCTCCCTTCGTCTTTCTCCATCTTCCTCTGTCCTCCACATCTGTCTTCCGCTCTCCTCCCTCTCCCTCTCTTTCTCCTTCTCTTCATGTCCCCTCTCTCTTCCCCTCTCCCCCTCTCCCCATCTCACTCTCCCTACCTGTCCCTCCATCTCTCTTCCTCTCTCCATTTCGATAATGCCAGCGACCAGGGAGTCGTTCTGCGGCTTCCTAGAAAGTGGTTACGACTCCAGAGTTTGTTTTCAGTAGCCATTTTATTACCCCACATGCACTGCTCGCCTTTTGTTGCCGTGTTTTTATTAAAAACGGGGCCGATGCACTTTTTCTCTCCTCTACGCGTGATACCGTTTGCCTTTTGATATATGCCGTTAAAGAGGTTGCGATTTTGTATTTTCCTTTTCGATTTCTTAAGTGCTTAACCTAGTTAGCTAAGTGATATACCTTCTGTAACTTATCGACATCAAAGAGAGTTTTTCTTTTTATTAGAATGTTTCTGTTCCAGTATTGGCGCGGACCCATTTATTGTGAATTAGTGTCATTTAAGGGAAGGGGGGGGGGGGGTGGTATAGATAAGAAATTGGACCAGGGGAACCCATGGACTTGACATATCCACCTGGCAATCAGTTACAATATGATACACCTGTCTCATAAGATAAATTCTGAATATAGTAGTATTTACTATTTTGTGTTGCGTACATTCATGACGTTAACTTCTTAAATGTATTTGTAAGCAGACCCATACCTCTCTATTCCAGAATCGGATTTGAACGCGAAACAAAAAATGATGGGTGGAGAAATCAATTTGCGATTTATTTTGGGAGGCTGGTCCGAACGTCAAAACGGTCCAGGGTGCCGACTTTACGTGGTCTAATGTTTATCCAACAATTTGAATTGTAATGAAGACGCCACGCTATGGCCACGGATTCATCGCTTACTGACCTGGGCTCACAGAGGTCAACGTTAATGTATTGGCACAGTTGGGAGCAAATCCCTTGACGTATCTACCGGTACAATTTTTTTTTTTCGGAGGGGGGGGGGGGGGGGGGTGTCTGGCTCTATAACTATTAAAGCTTTCATCGGTTTTGTGGATAGTCGTTATAGTTATTAGACACGGGAAAAGGATTTGCAGTTGGTAATACCGGTGCCGTTTTAACATTTTATTGAAATATTTTAACAAAATGGAAGTAAAACTAGAATAGTACTGGTAGCCTAAAATTTAAAATCCATCCAAATTGTATTATAAATAGTTTTTCGTTCATTAAAAAAAGTCCTTTGATGCCTAACTTTCAAATCAGAGGAAACAGGACAATTAAAGAAGGAATTCCCCAAAGTTTTATCTTTAATACACAGTTATTCCCTAGTACAAAATATATGATCAAACGGAGGGCCGAATATGATAATTTGGTCTAGTATGTATAAGTAACCCCCACGGAGTTCGATGTCCAAAACCGTCACGTCCACGTCAAGCGCGAACTCCGGTTGTGGGAGGGGGATGTTTTTCTATCGCGATAGGGGGATGCATTCCTCTCTCAAGATATGTCCATCTCCGCAGATGATGATTATTTCTCTATTTGTATTCAGTGATTAGGCAAACCACATCATAGTTCGCCGTACATTGGATCGCAACAGGAAGGTCTAACCATAGACCATGGTTTAACTATGCCTACTTTCTTGTCATGATATTTCGAGGATGAGCTAATAGGGGTTCCATGTTATTTGCTGTTTGACGAATTTCTGTACATACAAATGCTATTGGGTCAAGTTCGTCATAAATTTTGTTAATTTAAATTCCATGAACATCTAATCCAGAGGCTGAAAACAAGGTTTAAAAATGCAATATAATATACTGATTTTCGTCAATCACACTGTCCATATTATGTCCTCAGGTTGTTATTTATTTAAAGTCAGATCAAAAGTATGAAAAACAAAAAATTAGGAGGGCCATAACTGATCGGGAAAGTCTAAACCCACTATCACAGTACGAATGATGAAAATGATTTGATTTTTGCCCCAGTATTAAAAAAGTTTGTCAAAGTACTCACGATGCATAAAAGGCTTGCACAAGATTTTCGTACCAAACAGTGGTGAAAAAAAATTTTAAAACCCGATAATACACATGAGAAATCCCATCTAAGGTCACTTTAACCCACCGTATGTCGTAAAGTAGTCAAAGATCGGCCCTGACCTCACGAGACATTCGGGTGACCTCAACGTTGTGTTTGAATTTGAGTCCGCAAGTGGCATTGAAGGCGAGAAAAGAAAACGAACCACTTCCAATTGAGGAATTTCCTCACAGAAAAACCTCAAAATCAAAAGGAAATATTGATTTGGAAATTGGAAGTGGTCATTTTATTTTGAGTTATGGTCGTACTTAAACTCAACAGTCTTGCCAAGGTTGTGTCTGGTAAACTCTTAATTTTGTATCAAGTAATACAAACTTTTCGCGATGACCGATAGAGTATGCCTGATTGTAAGATGTTCCTTGTCATTTGTATGTATTCAAAGCTTTAGTTCTTTACTTCTAAAGTCTATTTTGTTCCTTATTTTGTGTCCTTTACGTAAGAGCTGTTCGATGTAAACTTGGACATTCTTTATTGAAATCCCTTGTTACATAGAACCCATGATTGAAATTGGGCAATATGGAATCGCATGATATTACACATTTCGATTTGATTATAATGGTACCAGGAAAACCCTCTCATTTCCATCATGGTACTGGTCCATGGTACTCTTATTATTTACCTAAACGATGAGTTCCACTGGGTTCCACCATGGTTCCACAACTCCAATCGTGGTATGACTATGATTAACTTATTTTTTAAGTCCATGGCCAAACATTGCCATTGTACCATGCCCTTTGAAGTCCCATGTAACTTTCCCATTGCGGATAAGCTGGACAGATTAACATACCAGCGCACACGTGGGTTTTTTCTCCGTTCTTTTTCTGGCCGATCTCTTCGTTCGCGGTTGAACTTCACACCTAATAAAGCTAAATTTGTTCAGGTGTTGCCGATATGTGTGTAGTCTTGGTGACCAGACTTCCTCACTTTATGTACGCCCATAAACCCGTTGTCCGTATCGTTTTCGGAGGCCTAATATCGCGATGTCGGCGCATTGCGACATCGATGTACAGTGACATCGTAGTCGTCGAGAACGAAGCGGAGGATGAGAAGCACAATCATTGTTATCGACTCTGCCTAGAGCAACTTTCATATTTTCGTTTGAGAATATATCAGAGCGTTTGAAATCTAGACTAGCCGCTCTGGAGCCAATGACACATGTTAAACAGATTTTTGAGGTGTCGCAGTGTCAACATTTTCAGTCTTTTGTTGGATTGTTTTCCTTCAGATTTGTACTCACTAAACCCCCTAATTTTAACCTTTTTCTCACGGTCAGCTTTACCATTTATTTGTTTCTTTCACTGATTTTTGAGATTTTACTTCCATGTTCTGTTCTCTAGCCTTCATATGTATTGTGTGCAGAATGCCCAATGTGTTGTTTATTTTTCGTGAAGAGATGGATAAAATCTCGTCAACTATTGCCGAGTTTTAATCACACACAACGCTGATGGCGCACTTCAATTTTGACATCGGATTATCTCAAGCGGGCTCAATTTTTATTCACATCTGTAATTTTCCGTAAGAGCTAAGTAATCTGAGCGGTTAGTTATATCCATAGAATCTTAGTTCTTTTCCAAATATCAATATAATATGCAAATAGCAATTATTAGAAAAAGTGGACTAAGATGGACAAAAAAGATAAGATTTTCGAACAGGGTACTTCTTTTATTTCTTGTTAATGCAAGGTGGTTTTGGATACGATCATTATAGTGTTTGGTATTGTTTTGTATACTGTAGTTGATTAATGATTCGGATCCATCGCAACTCTTTACAAGACGGGGCCCTGGTATGTACTACATGTATATTCAAACAGTTGCGATATGTCAGCTTTTAAAGTTCGACAAAAGGTCAGCTCCCCTTGCAAAGCCCTACCTAACATTAGTCATTTTCGAAACTCTAACATTTTATTATCATCATCATAACAAATTTACAAACAGAGTAAAGGAGAAAATGTCTTATTGCCCAAAGCTATGCTACTTTAGAACTGATGGAGAAGACAAAGTGTAAATCTGTAGGTCGAAAAGGGAAAAGAAGGGGGAAAGACTGAGATCCACTATTTGGCGGAAAAGCAGTGAAGACAAATTAATCCAAGTCGGTGGAATCAAATCGAAAGCATTCGTCCCGTAAGATTCCAATCATTTCCATCCATTCCGCCAAGTGTTTGGTAGCCTGCCTTCAATATTAAAAGGATTTTTAAAAACTTTCTTAACTCTCAGACCGTCTAAAACACGATCGCAGAGACTTTCGAAAAATCTACTTATTGGAATTCAGTAGCCAATTGCCTTTTGAATTGTGCGAACATTGACGTGTCTGAACAAGGTTGCCATGTGATATAAAGCAGTGAAATTGGCCCTTGTGTTGATTTTCGAAAGTCTTTGCGATTTTGTTCTCACCTTTATCAGTAGAAGGCGATTACATAAGTCCGGAGTGTAGACTAACCCATACCACATTACATCGCTCACAGTGAGAGGAGAGGTATAGGTCTGATTAGTCTATAGTATACCAGACCCTGTTACAATTTTACACAGTATTGCCGAGAGGGAAAAGCTGGCTTAGGTTGGAAGTAAGGCTAGCATAAAGTTTTGAATGAAAATGTTTGCGACGGCTGCTGCGCTCTGTCACAAATCAGGAGGGTTGTGAGATGAAGAATCTCAACAATTCTCCGAATTTGTATGAATTCGGATTAATTTTAAAAGCGACCATAATATTTGTGTAGTATACCCCCCCCCACACACACACACACACATACAAACACCAACGCATTTCAATTCGGATTAGCGCGCCTGACATTGATTATTACAAATTGCCTTGAGATTTTTTCTTGTAAGATTTAATCCTGTCAAATTTTGTCTACTGCTTTCAAACTGGCTTATATGCGCACAATTTTACAAAATCATTTTGAAGACATTCATTGGTTCTTTAATATATCACAACGTAAAGGGTTGGGCTGTATGGTGTGGGTTGGGCAACATCGTTAGAAGAAAAAAAATAGGACATCAAGTAGCAAACAAAAAAAAACAAAAAACTTTCGAATCGTCAGCGTTTTTGGCATTTTCGCCTAGAGCATATTGCGTGGTTACCAATTACACATCCCGTTGTCAAGGTTGTCATGTT